TGAGGTTACGGGATCCGTTTGCGTCACCCGCATTACTGGCACTGATAAAATAATAGCGTAGATTAAACAAAAAACCGGATACTTTCAACCGGTGATATACACCGAAGACTTGGCACGTTTTTACCAGTACGGTTCAAGCCAGCAAGGCGTTAATCCTGCTTATTCCTCAAACATGACACAGTTCCCTTCCATGTCGAGATTTTCGAATTAACATAGATATAGCTAAGTTAAACAATAGCGCAAAGCTATCGATTTATATATGAAGGCCTATGCGGTTTTCATCTAAACCGATAGCAGACGTACTCTCTGCCTCGTACTCACTAGATTAGACAAGAGCAAAAAAACAAATAAAAATGTTGATATTTTTAGGGATTTTAAGGTTAGATGCACACACAATCTTCGACCTACACAAATATTTATCTTCTAGAGCCTACAAGATCAACGTGTTAACGCAGTAATTAAATAATTATGAGTAATTAAATAACGCCTTTCAAAAAGATTGTATCCCTTGTCGCAATTATGAAAGGGCAATTGAGACTGAGAACAGAACAACCATAGAACACGAGCAATGCTTTACCGTGCGAAGTCGCTAGACAAGAACATAGGCGCAAGGGAAAAACTTATTCTTATTACAACTTTACCTCTGTTGGAACTGGCGGTCGCCCACTTCATCGACAGCGGCAAACGTTTAAGATTCGGAGTCAAAGTATAGTATTAAGCGTCCTTATCATCCTATCCAGGGTAACAAAAAAATTTGTGCGGATAGGACTACGCTAAAAATTATTCCGCTCTAACGCTACTGATGCTGCTAGTATTGTATCGTTGTTCACACGTAGAGTTATAGACTATATATATAGATTATTAGAGTTATATACTAGCGTTATAACAGCGTGGTATAAAATGAAGGCCGATATTAAACGAACTCCTTGTATTTGGAATACATCTTTCTGTATTTCCTCTATCTCTTTTTGGTTCACTTTGAAGATATCGTTTCGATGTTTTTGATCGTGCCGAAAGTTCGTCATTGGACACATTGAAATATTGTCTTGTTGACATCAACTAAAGTAACCCGCGAGCGCGAGACTTAGATTTATTTCAATGTTTTACCGTTGAGAAATATGTGCGTCGATACACATAAATAGCATTATAAATTAGGCTGTTTCCTTTGTGTAGTACTATTAACCCACTGGCAAGGCTCATATATAAAGGTGTGTGTATATACTACATACATGCATTCGCGTACGTCCTACCATCGCGGCGGGATCAAGACAGATTCGCATTACCATCGCTGCTACCGCCAGAAGCAATGACCACTCAAATCGCTATAACAATTCAAAACTAGCTCAATAGCAGGCGCACGTGCCACGTTCAGGAGAGACAGTCAGACATACGTCCGCCTTGCAGCCTGCCTACCCGTCCGTCTGTTCAGGATCGTAGATGAATATTTGAAAAAGGACAGATACAAAAAAAGTGGGAGACCCAGATAAGTGCGTGAATATAGCACCACCTTTGCTTGTGAGGAACCGAGGCGGAGAATTGTGGATCACTAACGGTGGCTGTCGATTTCCTTGTCTTCTTCGTGATGTTGCTTATCTGCCATGACGTTAATAAGGGACGGGTTTCTCATAGAGAAAGCACAGGCTTAGGGGCACAGAGGAAGGGGGAGTGGGAAGGATACTGCACAAGCGATATGGTGGTAGTATTAGTAGCACCTCTACCGGAGAGAAGCCACTAACGGGAACTAGTTCTTGATAGACTGACGTTTTCTATCGTTGAGCAATACGGCGAACAGCGTCATCCTATTCTCTATACAAAAAAAAAACATCTTTTTTGTCGGTAGAGATAACTGCAACAACGACGACACCCGTAGTCATCGTCGCTTGCAGTTGCCTAACTCCATCGTTTTTCTGAGCTACTTGGCCATGATATCCGCGATACCACGCGTCGGCCAGCCCCGTTGCATCTGTTGTTCTTGCTTACCAGCCCCGGGAGTCTTGTAGACTTCTAAAAATTCCATTCACAGTCTCGGAGGTTTCTGTCGAGCTGAAGTTGCGTTGGACGTAATTAGGAACCCAGCCGGTATACAAGGTAACCAGCAGAGGGAAAAGTATTAGAGCATGAATGGAGCGGACGGGCAGTCGACACAAGTAGAAAGATGTGAACGAGCTGAAACAAATTCTTAGTGCAGTTTGGTCAATTTGTCTTAAGGCGCAGCGACTGCCAAAATCAGTTACTACTGCTTAGCTTTTATATTCTACGGTAGCTGCTACCCTAGCATTTCGTATTGTTTGCTGTTTTTGTCACTGGCCTGGTTACCGGAAAGACCCTGAACAATCGTTCTTTTGTCAGTTGGCCTGCTGGCCCTTTGTGTACGTTACGTCTCCTCCTGACTGAACTTAGAACGTTCCGTCTTGTGCTAGTGAAGCCCTTTGAACGGCGACGAGAGCGGCAGTGGTGGGACTGCAACATCTACAGCCACAATGCCGTTGCTGTATCCGACTATGGCAATCAGTCTGGACCAAGTTGGCTTGACATTTTGGTCTAGTGTTCAAGATGGCCTAAAGAAAAGAGACCGCACTGAGTAGAGGGGAGTACATAAGAAAAACGGAAAAGGACAATGCAATGTGAAGGCAGAAAAGTAGGCGTGGCAGGATCGGAGATCAGGTACAGGACATGATGGCCTTTCAGTCGGCGGGACTAGAAAGTACGTGATTCAATTGACAGCGGCAAAAGATTTGAAAACAAGCAAAGCGGCTGGGGTGAACGAAGGACGAGCTTGTACGATGAAGACACACAGCGAATTATTTTTCTGTGTGCCGGTCAAGGAAATTGGCATTGAATCTTCACAATGAGCTCTCAATCATTTACTGAACCTATTTAGTTGCAGCACAGCATATTGGCTCATAACTCAATTTCTGCAATGTGGTGAGGGGCTCGGAGCTCAACGACAAGCTGAACTCCAACGTTCCCAACAAACGTCAGTATTATGCGACTGTTTCTACCATAGTCGACTATTGTTTTGTTTTCTATAGCAAATACTGTCGCGTACACAGCGGTAATAGATTAGCTGCTGGCATTAATGGTCCTTGGAAAAGGCATCAATATTAGTGAGTAAATCAAGGTGGTATCCACTCCGCCGGCAGAGATGATCTTCCTATGCCCTGCAACCTTCTGATAGATTCGAATAGAACCTGCTGGACGTTCGCTAACGGTTCGTCGCGTCGAGACAAAGGTGGTTGTGGGTTGTACGAACAGAGCAGTAGTGAGCGGAGTAACATGACTAGTGGTAAGAGACCGCCGACCCTTACTAAACCCCTGCCCTTATTGCCTAGGGAATTGTCAGTGGGGAGCGTGTAGATAGCGAAAGCGAGGCCAACCGATTGCTCACAGCCAGAAGCTAACTGGCGGGGTCACAGCGCTGGCCAAACGAAGTGCAGGTGACTGCCATAAGACCCGTACAGCGCAACTGCGGATTGGCACGAAGGCTGCCAGGTTTGAGGTAAGTCTATACGTCGGTTTATTTGGCAGCTGTAGCAATGGTGATGACGGTGCCAGTGATGGTAGCTAGTGTGAGTTGTAGGTTTGGCTAATAGAAAGGTTCTGGGGACCTATGAGCAGTGGCAATATCTACTGCGATTGTTCCTGCCAGAGCATAATGGTGACCAATAATGTGGTCAAGGCCTTAGAATTTCATGAATGGCCTCATGTCGGCAGCCATAACAAGCTAAAGCGATCTAAAGTTTAAAAAAACCCATATATATATACATCTACTTTCGATACACGATTTTGTAGTATAATGGGGTAACATAGTTGAGCAGTAGGAACACACTAGCTGGTACGCGTTGCACTGTCGTTCTTTACAGCTATCAGCATCGTCTGATCACTAGATATTGGATCATGATTTATTCCTGGCTGATCACTGGAAAACACAATTACAACACTACAGTGGCTGCGAACAGCGCATACTTATCTGCCTTCGACTGATGATGCATCCCAGATGCGGGAAAATAAATTTACTGCCAGAAAAAACAAGTCTGCAAGCTGCGATAGGCCTTATCATCTGGCCATATCTTATTTTGCTCGTCACAGGAGTTCCCTGGATAGCCACCGTCTGGCTGTTGATGTTGGAAGGGAAGATTAGAGATGAGAGCCTTTGCACCTTTTAGATTGTCATGCCAGCAGCGGCGTGAAAGTTCCACCCACCACACGTTTCTACGTTGGTCTTCTTTGACCATCCGCATAATCGGTCCGATCCCCCCCCCCCCCCCCAAAGAAAACGTCAGCCAAGCTGCCCTTATTTCCATCTAACCAAATATTCCTCCTGCTTACTGACATCAGCCGTCCCTCATGCTGATTCGCCCGTCTGCCACGAGGGATGGCTGCACCATTTGTGCTAAATGGTACGGTAGCCCTGTATTTCGTTTTAGCAGTGCTTAAGCTACGAGCTTCACCTCTGGAAGCCTGCGTCGTTGACGTAAGTGAAATGACGCTAGATAAATAGCACAACCTGGTCAACACCAGCGGTGATGACGGTATTTCAAGGTTCTTATGTGTTATACAACGAAGTTTAATGATTCTTTATCCCTGGACCGTGTTGAAAGCAGTGGCATCCCACCAGTCTGATAACGTTTCGTGAAAACGTTGGAATCCCATAGACTAATTTCCGAGTGGGTTCTTGAAGTCTTAGTGGCGCTAAGAGCAATCGCTGTTTACCTTATGCGTGCACACATGCGGGCCCACATTGGCTATTTAGTATTATTTTCATTTATACGCAAAGAGAATAAGTAACGCATTGAAAATTCGAGAGATGTCCCAAGATCGATACGGTAGTATGTTTGCTAACAACTAACTGTTACGTACCGCCTTAACCTGGCTGCAACTTTCATTTATCATGGTATGCTTGTATGCTTTACAACGGGCCGAGCACATACTCCATATGTTGTTGTTTATGTTGTTATTGTTGTTGCTGCTGTTGTTGTTGTTTTATAGCGGCTGATTACCTGGAACGTCGATTAAAACGACCGTTGATGGAATTTCATGTGGGTTATAAAAATGATGGCGTTTGAAATGGCAGTTTCATGCCTATATAGTCCATACACGAAGAGCTCGCTTTGTTTCTATGAAGCTGAAAACGTTCATCGCGATTTTGCATTGGACTTCGGCTTGTCGACACCCACTCAGCTTGCACAGACTGCACCGCAGATAGAAATAGGGCTTTAACATTTGCGTTGATGCCCACGCTGATGTTGTCGTTGCTGGCTTCGGCGATGATGATGACAACGACAACTAGATTATAGTGGTACTGATTATTTCCGTTTTGCTTTTTAGCAGCCGACTATTAATTGATGATACTTTTAGCATGGCACAACTGCTAGCTTTCATTCCGACTAGTCCAGTACAGCCAACGGCGGAAGTGGAGAGTTTACCAGCTTCGGTAGAAGCCAGCTTTTCGTACGCGTCTGTATGTGAGAAACGTGACAGTGGCTGAAAGAGAAAGAGAGCAATCAACCAAGCAACTAGTCAACTAGCGAATGGGTGGGCAAATGATGAAGATATGAATGAGACGGGACTTTTGTTATTCAGGGCCTTGGTGATAGTAGTTCAACAGGACTTGCTCTCTAAACCGGTCGGTCCATTGACATCGACGTGCTTTTACCGCAAATATCACTACCACCTGCACGAGGCAGCATACACGCACGCACGCACACATACACACTATGTGTCTGACGCTAGGCCACAACTATTGGCACTATACACACATATACCACCATCTTTACGGGAAGGCGCTGCATGGTGTGGACTCAAAAAGCGATCCCGGACGACCATCAGCTAGTTTGCAGCACGTCAATTTAAGGAGCATCGTTTATGACTTGGGGAAACACGCTTATTACCATTGTGTTTCCTGATCTATTCGCGTATCGGACTGGACAAATGTATTGATCAGACAGTAGTTGTAATCGTGGTTGAAGTTGCTGATATAACAATAGTGGTATATAATGTAAGCGCTCTATAAGAGGTAGTAGTTGTTTTAATAGAAGAAGCACAATTCACCTTAGACGGACGGCCCCCGCTGAACTCTTTACCTTCACGAGGGTTTCGCCTACGCTTTCTTCCTTTCCTTCTTTCTCGCTTCCCTTTCTCTCACTCACTCATAAAATGTGACGGTGACGACAGGTAGAGATAGGCGCACGAAGGTGGGACGGGTGGCTGCCACAGGGATCGAATAGGCACGAGCGGATCTTGCGTTTACGTTGACGTTTTCACTGCATTGTGGCCTCGTGGCTGGCGCACTGTTGCCGCACTCTCGCAATAAAAGCACACTCTACTTCAGCCTTATTTCGAAGCAGAATCAATGGAAGCAGACGAATGGCCATGATTAGAATAAGAACGAATACACGACTACGTACAATAGAATTTCGGAAAAGGCCGTCAACTCGCTGTCGCCAGCCTCCTACCTTCTGCGTCTGCTGCTTCTGATGCTTCCACACTGCGGATCTTACTGCTGCTGCTGCTGCTGCGGGCGCAGAGGACCGGCCACCTATTCACTCCACTCATTCGGTGGGCGCCATGCAGTGCGGTGACGACGCACGGCATAGGCAGTCTTCGCTCCGCTTGTTCCTCCCGTGTGCCGCCGGATCAATGCGGACTAACTTCGCCGAGATACACAAGCTAACAACGCCCCCTGACGGCTTTTCGCCGCAATAGAGGCTCTAGACGGCGCCACCACTGCATTGGAGGGGAAAGAACAGGGAACAGGGGACAAGGGGAGACCGAGAACGGGGTTAAAGGTCTGCGTAAGCCGCCAGCCAATGGCAGACTCCGATGCCATCCCAGGCTCCGTTCAGGTTCTGGGCTCTGTTAGCGTAGGTTCGCAGCCTGTCAGCGTGGCGCCTAGGTGCCTATTTCACTTCTGCGTCCCAACAGTCGCTGGCTGACGATCCGCTGCAGTTCGACCCCACAGACTCGGTGCTCTGTTGACCCTCGTCGAGGAACATAAAGCATACGCTGGCCGCAGGCCGATTTACCGCAGGACACGTTGTCACCTAGCGCCCGCCAGACAGGTGCAGCGGACCCGGTACAACTTTGGTTCAGTTGCTGTTTGCAGCAGTGGGTCAAAATAAAATAACGTTAGTAGCAAAGGTAATATAAAAATTATAGCGACGGCAGCCTATTTAGCTTAAGGTAGCTTCAACAAAGTCTGTGAGCAAATTTTTTTTATTGAAAAGAAGGAGTCTTTGGAGAGAGTCAATCGTTCGTTAAGATATACGTCCATCTTTTAAGTCTATCTTGCCTTGTCTCTATCTCCATAATAATAATAATAATACATTCTCGTTACTGCTGCTTACTAGTATGTGTATTTTACTACATATACATTTTACAGAGAAGCCGTTTATTGCCTGTTTCTGATCGTAATCTGTCAGTAAGTCACCGTTAAACACTTCTCAAATACAGTCCTCTAGTATCGTTATCGCGCATCGCCTGGACGCCACGGACCAACATCATTTTTTACAAAAAAAAAAACAGTGAATTATGAGTTTCGACGGGCTGCAGGACTATAATAAATGGCCCCTGTATTATATTAGATTAGTTAGTTGTCGTATTTATGCGTGTATCACATGCTAGTATCTGCAAAACTGACCTTTGCTGCCACGACACACGCTCGCGTTCTGAAGTATGTCCTAAAAACCACCACTACCACAACGGCTATACACTAACCAGTATGATTACTGCCGCGAACGTCGATCAGCACACCATCACGCTACACCTTAGCCCCCACCGACGATTTCTGTAATACAATGGGATAAGCACTGTTTCGTGGAGTTGTCCTCGTCTCTTCCGCCAGGGCAGGAGGCGATTGGCCATCAGTCAGCCGCCAAGGGGGGTAAATGAGCAAGCCAGAGGCCACAAGAGCGCTGCTTCAGGCCACATTTTGAAGGTGGCTCTACGAGGACTGGGGCAGTTGCAAGCACCGCTTTAATGGCAATGTCTGCTACTGACATGCTCCGCTCGACAAAAATGGACTATGGATTTTCTATGTTATCGTTCTTTTCTATCTTATTCCCCACCGTTCCATCCAGTTAGTAGGCGGCATAGTGTTCAGGTGTCGCAAAGCCTATCAGCCGCCAAGGGAAGCCTGAACCTGGCGGATGCGGAGCTTGGTCAGAGATTTGAACAACTAACTGGCTGATCCTCGGCTGTACTACTAACTAGATAGCAAGCAAGCGGAGGCTGTTGCCTCGACGGCAGGCTAATCTATTAGCATTCCATTGGCTTCATGAGGAACAATTTGCTATGTCTTTACCCATGATCCTCTGACAGACGAGGGCACCGCAAAGAAGGCGGCAGCTGCTGAAGCCATCGGCGTTGCCATTGTCAGCAGTATCACCAGTAGCAATACTGCTATAGTTGATCGCTCCTCTACCGCTCGATTGGCTGCCTGTCCGTCCGTGAGCGAGAACGGAGGCTCTGCTAGCAGCAACCCCTTGGTGTCATACGTAAACCGACAGACGTGCGGCCAATGTGTGTCGTCGTTGCTGGCACTTGCGGTACACGCTATCGTGTATAGACTCATGCATGGAACGATAGCTGTGGCCGGGCGGAATAACCATAACTAGGTCGGGGTCAGAACCCGAAAGCCCTACGATTTTCATTCAGACTGATTCACGCGTCTACGTCGATAGAACAAAAGTTACCGGTTCTTAAGATCACTTTCAGTGGGTGTCTTTATCTTATTCTACGCTTTCGAATAAAAACATTGCTATTATATTTTGCTATTTATAGTGACATTTTATTTGAATAACATCAAATAATACATGGAAGTTTCTCTCTATAAACGCTAAATTTATTTGAAGAATTATATGTTTACTAAAACGCTTACAGCGCAAAAAACTACTACAAACATGTTCCGCGTTAAGGGTTGCTGCAGCTAGTTTTGTTCCTGTTCGGCAAGGAATAAAATTATTATTCTTTATGATATCTGTTTTGCTTCCATTAATGTATCAGTTCTACTCGAACATTTTAGTTGACATGTGATCCAGTTAAAGCCTAAGGGTTTATTCAAAAGGTTTTTTTCTCTTATCTGCTTAATATCGCTAGTGTGAGATAAATTTAGTTCACTTAAATACATTCCTATGAGTTCCTATGAAACTAAGTTCGGGATCTTTAATATGTTTTAGGTCTTTTGTGAAAATACAAGCGTGTCTTTGCTACCCGTTCTACGAAACTGTGTTATCGTATAGGTAACTTACCAGTAAATCCAATTTTGCCTTTTCGAAAATATAGAGCAGTCCTGTTACTGCTGAGACAAGATATTTAAAAATGGTTTTTCTGTTGAAAACCGCAGTCCTAAATATACCATGCATTCATCCACGATATCTTACCTTCCCTCACACGATGGTCCGTTGTTCCACCTAAAGTATATAAGTGGAAGCGACAATTTTTCAGAACCGGCCATTGCGAGATACACTTCGGATTCCCTTTTTCATACGCTCTTAGTAGAAATTGTTACTCTGATTTTTTTTTCTGTAAAAGATGTACAATAGTCTAGACTGTCAGATATAATCGAAACGTGAAATAACCTCAGAGCACTACATTCCGTATACAACTAGTTTTCTACGACAATTACATTCTGTTTGGAATCCAAGTCCAACGTATCACTTTGCCCCTAGAAACCCGCTCTCACTTAATAGGCAAAGGAAATAATAAACGCTAAGTGACGTCTCACCTTGTATTTCAACACATAGGGCCCAAGGCGATATATCATAATCTCAATCCTTAACAGTATTCAAAGCTTATTTGTTCGGTATCCAACCAGCTAAGCACGGCTTAGGTCAAATAATAGCATGCTAGCTCGAGGTTGAGCTGCCACTTGTCAAGTTGACTTGCCACTTGCCGGCTTTTGATTTTTAATGCTTCATTGAAGAAATAGGTGGAGAAGGGCTGATGGATGTCTGAATTTATCCGGGCGCCATTTAAAGTTTACAGCTATGGGCGCTTTTGTATCAGGCTTTTCTGTTTGTTTCACTTCAGATGTTATTTATGTAGTAAGCACCGATAACAGTATTCAATATGGTTAGTGAAAAATTTCTACAAACGAATACTTTGTAAAGCAGCGGAGCTTACTTTCAAACTGCATCTCGTGCGCTAACCTAACGACACTCACTTGTTTGACTTTTCCCCAATCTCACACCGTCGTAAAGAGCTTTGAAGCTGTCAAAAATACATCACTATTATGCCTGATTTCTAAAATTCTACCTAAATAAAAACAAGACATTTCAGCAAAATGTTTCACGTGTGCTAAAAGTGTCATTTTTAACAGACATGTTCACTGAACACGCCCGCTACAATTTCAATTCGGAACCTAAACAGCTCACAGACCCCTTTCAAATGTAAATGTACGGCAGTCCTATTGATAGCTTGAGCAAGTGATTCGATGTTACGATGTCGAAATTTGTTAGACTTAATAACACACTGCACAAAGTACCCCGACAGATTCAAATCTCTCTGGGTTGCTCAATGCCCATGTAGGTTACGCGTATCTCAGAGCATGCTCATATTTTGAGCTAGCGTACGCTCTTTGCAAAAAGCGTAGAGCCACATTTTAAATGCTGCAGCTATCGAAACTTCGATAGCTATCGATATGTTGGCATTTCTAAAAAATATAGTGCTATGATATCCCTTTTACTGGACATTAACCCTCGACAGAGAGTCGTCATTGCACATAATAGGCACATTTTTAGGACTATGAAAGGAGCAGTTATGATTTCTGCAATTAATTTTTGTAACAAGGATAAAAATGCACTCGTCAAAAAAAGAAAATCAAAGACAACTTGTTGTTTAATTCCGAAGAGAACTGAGCTACGACCAGCACCAAGCAAACCCCTTCGTCTGACCAGCCTAAGAAAACTTACGTTTCTCTGCCTGACGTTTGTGACAACAATCCGAGATACGGTAAATTGCTCCAGATAAAATGTCGTCGCTAATAACCTGGTTGAGACAGAAAAATTATCAGAAATTAATTTTAACTGTCTTTTTGTTTATCGTCTAACTTCTGTTGAGCTGTAGCAGAACCCTTTATTTTTTTTTGGTTTATTCTGCACCACTCACTGTTACAGTTTCGCACTGCGCCAAGGTTGACTATTACCGCATATCAGATTCCCCATGCCCAAACGTATTGGAGATTTCCTTAAAGTAAATAATAGGTAACATCAAGACTCTAGTTGATTTATGATCGAAGTTACGTAGTGTTTATTTAACAAACGTTCATTAACTGGAGGCAGGAAACACAATAATTTAACCTGATATTTTGTATCAACCAATAGCGACACATGAGTTACGCGTAGGTTTTATATCTATAAATAGAACTTTGATCATCTTCTATATTTAGTTTAACATAAAAGGTCACAGATGTCTTCAAAACCTCTCTGACCTGT